ATAATATTGAAACACCTGGAACGGTCCAAAAGGAGCGGTTTATTCGATATGCGGTCTGGCAATCACGTCAAAACGGTACGGTAACGGACAGACCTAAGGTGGTCGCCAAAACAAAGACCTCTCGAAGAAATTGAGGACTGATGATGACGAAATCGCCTCGGTATTATGCTGACGTCATTGAATTGCGTTGGGTCCCTGCTCGGGCGCCAAATTTGTAACCCATAACTCGTCCACAAATCCAGCACCAGCGAGAGGCTACAGGTAACAACTGTCAAGCTAGAAATCAATTGGGAGAAGCTGTAACTTCATGCAGCAATTGTGATTTTCAGAACATATTGAGTACAGTAAGTGATATTTCTGTTATTTAACCTTCATTCGCATTCTCGATTTTTTTTTTCCAAAAGTTGGTTATCCTGAGAGTGCCGCGTATTTTTTTATTTATTCAACAAGCTTTCAGCTGCCGAATACTGAAAAATCATAGAGAAAAAGCCAAGAATTACGAAATTGAGATTTTTAAAACACATGAGTACAGTCACTGATATTTCTGCTATGAAACCTTTCCTAGAATTCTCATTTTTTTTCTCAAAAGTTGTCACTCTTGAGAGTGCCACGTAGTTTTTACATATCCAACAAGCTTTTAACTCTAATATACTAAAAATTCATAGAGAAAGAGCCAAGGATTACGAAATTGTGATTTTCAGAACGTATGAGTACAGTAAGTGATATTTCTGTTATTTAACCTAAATTCGCAGTCTCAATTTTTTTTGCCCACAAATTGGCAATCCTGAGAGTCCCGCGTATATTTTAATTTATTCAGCAAGCTTTAAATTATAACATACTAAAAATTCATAGAGAATGAGTCAAGGATTACAAAATTCTGATTTTCAAAACCCAGAAGTACAGTCATTGATATATTTCTGCTATGGGACCTTTATTCGAATTCTCAATTCTTTTTCCCAAAAGTTGGTACTCCTGGGACTGCCACGTATTTTTTTACATATTCAGCAAGCTTTTAACTCTAACATACTAAAAATTCATAGAGAAAGAATTAAGGATCACGAAATTGTGATTTTTAGAACGTCTGAGTACAGTGACTGATATTTCTGCTATGATACCTTTATTCAAATTCTCGATTTTTTTTCTCAACAGTTGGCACTTTTGGGAGTGCCGCGTATTTTTTTACATATTCAGCAAGCCTTCAACTCTAACATACTGAAAACTTATGGGGAGAGAGCCAAGGATCATGAAATTGTGATTTTTAGAACGTATAAGTACAGTAAGTGATATATTTCTGTTATTTAACCTTCATTCGCATTATCGATTTTTTTTTCCCAAAAGTTGGTAATCCTGAGAGTGCCGCATATTTTTTTATTTATTCAACAAGCTTCCAGCTGTCACATACTGAAAAATCATAGAGAAAGAGCAAAGGATTACCAAATTGTGATTTTCAAAATGCATGGTACAGTCACTGATATTTCTGCTATGGGACCTTTATTCGGAATATCGATTTATTTTTTTTTCTAAAGTTGGCTCTCCTGCGAATGCCACGTATTTTTTTACATATTCAGCAACCTTTTAACTCTTACATACTGAAAATTCATATAGAAGGAGTCAAGGATTACAAAATTATAATTTTTAGAACGTATGAGTACAGTCAGTGATATTTCTGTTATTTAACCTTCATTCGCATTCTCGATTTTATTTTCCCAAAAGTTGGCAATCCTGTGAGTGCTGCATATTTTCTTATTTATTCAGCAAGTTTTAAACTGTAGCATACTGAAAATTCATAGGGAAAGAGTCAAAGATTACGAAATTCTGATTTTCAAAACACATGAGTACAGTCACTGATATTTCTGCTATAGGACCTTTACTAGAATTCTCGATATTTTTTCTCAAAAGTTGGCACTGCTGGGAGTGCCAGGCCTCTTTTTACATATTCAGTAAGCTTTCAACTCTAACATACTAAAAATTTATAGAGAAAGAACCAAAGAACAAAACATTACGAAAAGTACAGTGACTGATATTTCTGCTATGATACCTTAACCTATATTCAAATTCTCGATTTTTTTTCCCAACAGGAGTGTTGCGTATTTTTCTACATATTCAGCAAACTTTCAACTCTAATATACTGAAAACTCATTGGGAGAGAGCCAAGGATCACGAAATTGTGATTTTTAGAACGTATGAGTACAGTAAGTGATATTTCTTTTATTTAACTTCAATTCGCATTCTCGATTTTTTCTTCCAAAAGTTGGCAATCCTGGGGGTGCTGCGTATTTTTTTATTTATTCAGCAAGCTTTTAGCTGTACCGTACTAAAAATTCATAGAGAAAGAGCAAAGTATTACGAAATTGTGATTTTCAGAACGTATGAGTACAGTAAGTGATATTTCTGTTATTTAATCTTAATTCGCATTCTCGATTTTTTCTCCCAAACGTTGGCAATTCTGAGAGTGCCGCGTATTTTTTCATTTATTCAGCAAGCTTTTACCTGTACCGTACTAAAAATTCATAGAGAAAGAGCCAAGGATCACGATATTGTGATTGTGTTCACTGATATTTCTGCTATGGGACCTTTACTAGAATTCTCGATTTTTTTTCTCAGAAGTTGGCTTCGTGGGAGTGCCAGGCATCTTTTTACATATTCAGCAAGCTTTCAACTCTAACATACTAAAAATTCATAGAGAAAGAGCCAAGTATTACGAAATTGTGATTTTCAGAACGTATGAGTACAGTAAGTGATATTTCTGTTATTTAACCTTAATTCGCATTCTCGATTTTTTCTCCCAAAAGTTGGCAATCCTGGGAGTGGCGCGTATAGTTTTATTTATTCAGCAAGCTTTTAGCTGTACCGTATTAAAAATTCATAGAGAAGGAGCCAAGGATCACGAAATTAGGATTTTCAAAACGCATGAGTACAGTCACTGATATTTCTGCTATGGGACCTTTACTAAAATTCTCGTTTTTTTTTCTCAAAAGTTGGCACTTCTGGGAGTGTTGCGTATTTTTCTACATATTCACCAAGCTTTCAACTCTAACATACTGAAAACTCATTGGGAGAGAGCCAAGGATCACGAATTGTGATTTTTAGAACGTATGAGTACAGTAAGTAATATTTCTGTTATTTAATCTTAATTCGCATTCTCGATTTTTTCTCCCAAAAGTTGGCAATCCTGGGAGTGCTGCGTATTTTTTTATTTATTCAGCAAGCTTTTAGCTGTACCGTACTAAAAATTCATAGAGAAAGAGCCCAAGAATCACGATATTGTGATTTTCAAAACGCATGAGTACAGTCACTGATATTTCTGCTATGGGACCTTTAATAGAATTCTCGATTTTTTTTCTCAAAAGTTGGCACTGCTGCGAGTGCCAGCATATTTTTACATATTCAGCAAGCTTTCAAGTCTAACATACTAAAAATTCATAGAGAAAGAGCCAAGTATTACGAAATTGTGATTTTCAGAACGTATGAGTACAGTAAGTGATATTTCTGTTATTTAACCTTAATTCGCATTCTCGATTTTTTCTCCCAAAAGTTGGCAATCCTGGGAGTGGCGCGTATAGTTTTATTTATTCAGCAAGCTTTTAGCTGTACCGTATTAAAAATTCATAGAGAAGGAGCCAAGGATCACGAAATTAGGATTTTCAAAACGCATGAGTACAGTCACTGATATTTCTGCTATGGGACCTTTACTAAAATTCTCGTTTTTTTTTCTCAAAAGTTGGCACTTCTGGGAGTGTTGCGTATTTTTCTACATATTCAGCAAGCTTTCAACTCTAACATACTGAAAACTCATTGGGAGAGAGCCAAGGATCACGAAATTGTGATTTTTAGAACGTATGAGTACAGTAAGTAATATTTCTGTTATTTAATCTTAATTCGCATTCTCGATTTTTTCTCCCAAAAGTTGGCAATCCTGGGAGTGCTGCGTATTTTTTTATTTATTCAGCAAGCTTTTAGCTGTACCGTACTAAAAATTCATAGAGAAAGAGCCCAAGAATCACGATATTGTGATTTTCAAAACGCATGAGTACAGTCACTGATATTTCTGCTATGGGACCTTTAATAGAATTCTCGATTTTTTTTCTCAAAAGTTGGCACTGCTGCGAGTGCCAGACATCTTTTTACATATTCAGCAAGCTTTCAAGTCTAACATACTAAAAATTCATAGAGAAAGAGCCAAGTATTACGAAATTGTGATTTTCAGAACGTATGAGTACAGTAAGTGATATTTCTGTTATTTATTCTTGATTCGCATTCTCGATTTTTCCTCCCAAAAGTTGGCAATCCTGGGAGTGCCGCGTATTTTCAACTCTAACATACTAAACGTTTATAGAGAAAGAGCCAAGGATCACGAAATTGTGGTTTTTAAAAAGTTTGAGTCCATTCACTGATATTTCTGCTATGGGACCTTCACCTCGATTTTCTTTTTCAAAAATTGGCACTCCTGAGAGGGCCACGTATTTTTTTACATATTTAACAAGCTTTTATCTCTAACATACTAAAAATTCATAAAGAAAAAACCAAGGATTACGAAATTGTGATTTTTAGAACGTACGAGTCGAGTCACTCGTTGGTACTTACGCCTTATGTTATGTGATCTCTATTCGCGTTCTCGTTTTCTTGACTTTTTTCAAATTTCCCTAAAAATATGAGAATCTGACAAAACCCAATGTCCAATAAAAAAATGGTCATTCAAATAATAATCCTTCCGTAACATCAAAAACCATAAACTTCAATACCAATAATCATGAATATCCGAAATGAAACATAAATAATTTGCACATAAATAACAAAATGTAGATTTAATTACGACAGTTTCAAATTAATAATCACCCTCTAGTTGATGTTTCACGTAATTAATTTAATTGCCCCAAAACTAATTAATTTAATCAATCCAAAATTGTGGACGCGAAACTCTTGTTATTAAACAGTGAAATACAAAAGCTAATAGATATGATTTGTAATGTGAGATTGTGTGGATAACGATTTAAACTTACCTAATATTTGGCTGAGAACGGTGCGGCCGTCTTCTCCCAAACATGCACTTCTAGCATCAAACGGATTCGTGAATTGTACAAAAGCGTATCCTTTGTGCATCGATATTCCTGGAAATAATGGAAATTTTAAGTCTATAAATTTTACAAATCCTCGAAATTCTCTGGCCTTAACTTACAAAGTTCCTCGTGTCCGGGGAATTGATTACTCAACTGTTACTAATCAAGAAGCCGATTTCTCGATAAATGCCTTTTCCGAGTGTCCTTTCTTGTAGAAAGATGATAAAACACTTCGGTGGACTTCAAGGTTTAATCGGTTTGTTTGGTATTTAATGGGATTTTTGTTTGTTGGCGGTGTGTGAAATTAATCTTTAAATAATTAGTCTTTTTTTGAATTTAAGTTTTGAGAAAAATGGTACAATGTTATGGTACTCAGAGGCTGATTTCTACAAATATACAGTATATATAAATCACGAAAGATCCATCGAAAAGTGCCTAGCACAGCAAAGTCTACTTGCTAAAGATGCCGAATACAATGGGCCTACTGTGGCCTGAATGCTAAGGCATACCATCCTCCTAAACCTAAACATACAAGAGAGATATTTCAAGTTCTTTTTATCAAGAAAACCAAATGAGTTTTTAACCAGAGTCATATAGAATTGACACACAACGTCTGATTTTGTCTAGAACCCTACTTGTAAAATGACAGGTGACTCTTCGAGCAAATCCTCCTGGTATCGATCTAGCATCCGGACTGAAACTTTTAAAAATCAAATCCAAATTGTACATTTTAAGGTGGCCCTATTAAACTGTTAGAAGTTAGCGAGAGTAACTTTCAACTTCGAACTGAGTTCTAATCAAAGTTTTTACAGGGCAATAAATTATAATTACTTCAACATCGAACAAGTTTCAACTCTATGCTCTGTTAATCGTACCTACGTAAGCTGATACAAAGTTTTTGAAAGTTTTTAGAAGGGAAATTTTGCAATATTGTAATTTTTGCTTGAACTTAAAAAAACTCTCAATAATACAGAAAAAAAAATGTCATCAAATAAAGTACCTGCCTAACTATTCCGCGCAGTAAATTTAAATAAGTTTCCTCGTTTTATCGACAAAAGACGAAAAAGTTTCAGAATAGTATGCAAACGAGGCTTTTATTACACGACAAACAAGACGTTTAGGTCGTTACGAGGCGGCCAATATTGACGGCGAATTGATAAAAATGAATGTTGATTACAGCACGATATGCGCTTATTGAATATTGAATTCGTTCCATTTGGTTTGTTTATGGGATTCGAACTGATTTTTAAAATGATGTTATGAAAAATGTTTCCTTGTTAGCGATACGTAAAACTATTTATTTCAATCACAAAATCATTAAATTCTTATATAAAATAAAAATTTGGAAGAACTGAGCACATATACCTAAGTTGATTTATTGCCAATCCAGGAGGAAGAAAATAAAATTAGGCGGTTCGCTTTTCCGAAGAAAATGCTGAACGACATTGATAAGACACTTCATTAGATCTTAGCCGAAAAATTGCGTTACGTAGCAATCAGCGGAAAAACGAGATTTTATTTGGAAAGCCTTTCTGAGGTCTTATTGCATTTACTCGACTGTGATTGATGTTTAGAGGAGATTTGTTTTTGATTCGATAAAAATGGGTTTTGTACTCACCAGCCAATCTTCCGTATCGTTGAAACATTCGTTCGACGTCGGTTTTCGAACATTGGAAAGTGTTCAGGTTTCCGACAAACACTCGCGAATTTACCGCTTGAGGGTCTTGCGAATTAGTCTGGTTACCCACTTTGCTCATTTTCATTTTTGTTGTTTGTCTGAAAAAGAAAATAAATAAATTGACAATACCTATATTCTAAAAGGCTTAAAGTTAACTGAAAAAAAAAATCATATTGGTTTATCTATTGTAACATTGCAAATGTCACTTGTTTGTTTTGATATAAATAATTTTTACATTTAATAATTTTATATAATTATTCTAAGGTCACTTGATAGGTTGTCCTTCAAAAATGTCAAATGAAATCTATTTATTCTGGAAGAGAAAATTGAAGAGTCCTTTTTCTAATCTGGCTGTTGCCCTACAAAGATCAAGTGTGGTTGGGCTGGGGGGCAGCCATCTTCCTCAAGTGAAAGTACCGTTCTCGTGGAGAAAAATAAAGTATCTTATCGGCCTTCAGGCATTACCTTATCTCAAAAAAATTCAGTGACGTGAGACAATAATCTGTTGAGTGCAAAAAGTTTGAGTCGGAGGGTCTTGTGACTGCCATTTGATTTAGGTTTGAATTTGAAGTTTTTTTAATTTTTTTTTTATTAAAGTAATAGCTTTTCAAAGAATGCCTTATTACTTAGGGTCTTTCGGAGAGCCGTTTTTCTCAACAAGTCCATTCCAAAAAAACCACATTTTCAATAGAACACCATTTCCGTGGAGTGTGCCATAGAGCTTTTTAAGGGATTCCTACCCTACAAAAATCAAGTCAAGTCTATATTGCCTTATATTTTATCATTTTTTATTAACCCTTATCATTAGTCTGAACTGAGGTCAAAGTTGGACAACATGTTCTAAATTTAAACTTATTGAATAGGTACCTATAACGTCAAAAATTGATCAATTTTTAACCCTGGACTTATTGTTCGTGGATTTTTAACTGACACTTTCCGTATGAGGAGCGAGGGGGTGTTTCATATGGCAAAAACAGGTGTGACGTCAGGTAACCATTGACGTTCTAGTGAAGGGAGCCACCAGCCTCACATTCCGTCCGAGTATCAGATTAAAATCGACGGACAATATATATTTGAGGATTTTCATTATATCTCCAGACCATTTAACGGTTATATAGCCCAACTTTCGATTTATTTCAGGTAGAATTTAATTTTATTGAATTAATTTTTTTTTGCAGAAGCTGACTATATTTATCAATACAATTTTCAATTTTTTTATTAGTTTTCTGGAAACCTAAATCTTTATATTTTCCTGTATCAGAAAATTATTGTGATGAATTTCCTTTTTATATTTCCCCCATCAGGCCTTTACGATCGTTCTGTAGTGAGAAATATCGCTTGGTTAACTTGTAGTTTGAATTTCCCAATAACAATAACATAACATTGTAATGACCCAGGAAAAATAGACCCGTAATTCACAAGGACCTAAAATAAAAAAACAGCAAATTTAAATGTAATCAAATAATCTAATGTAAATCTCCAGTATCCAATATTAGAAGAAAAGTTTTAATTTTCTTTATTTAGCATTGACACAAATTTATTTAAATATCTAAAATACGTTCAAATTTTAATAGACATCATGTGTCATCACATTGAACTCATAAATCAAATACATAAAAATATTAAATCAAGGTAAAAGTAATTAAATTGGGTATCAAAATGACAGAATTATAATAAAGACATTATTTAGGGCCGTCACGAGTTCGGCATCTTTTGATTTGTTTGTCTGTTTGTGTACCAAATCTGTTGACCCCGATAATCCAGGAAATTGTGGTTTTAAACAAATAATCATATTTTCTTGAAAAGACGAACCCTTAATGAATGGCATGTCCTGAAATTTTTAGAGGTATCGTAAAATTTAAAAACAGCGGTTTTAGACGTTTACAGTCAGTCTTCAGTTCAGTTCAGCTTAGATTATTGAGTGTTCAGTCTACAGTAATCAAGTAGTCGATTAGTTGAGATTAATAAGTCAATCCGGATAAAATTCGCGGACAGTTTATCTTGTTTGTAAATAGAATCTTTGAAAAAGTAACGGAAAATCGTGAAAGAAAGAACATTTGAATTCGTTCAACATTATGTGCGAGCTCTAAACAATCAAAATAATTAAATTAGAATAATTTAGTGTTTTAAGAACGAAATGTAAGTGACATGTTTAATTGACTTAAGGGAGGCCGCATGGGAAATTGAATTGGAGTTTCACTACCTGCCTTGCTCTATCTCCCGCTACATAATTATAATCGTCATTAATATATCAGGGAGCTAAAAGCATCGATGTTGTAACTAATGATCGTGCCTTTTCCCAAAAACTCATAGTTCAACATCTTTGTTAGAACTTACCCATCTATAGATCAGTGAAGTCAGAATAAAAAGAAGGCAAAGAACGAAGTCAAAATATATCTAATACTTCACGTTAATAGAAATAACTATTACTCAATAATCAAATGAAAACTCGTTGAAAATAAAATATTATACGTGGGTAGATTAAAATCAGAAATCCACACGAATGTATCTATTTGTGAGATATTGCTACCTTTAAACTAATGGATTGGTTGGGCTCCTTATCAGAATGTCGAAAAGCGCGACCTAAAACCAAAAACCACTCTATTTAATTGCCGCCTGAAAAGCGGGAATAGAAAAAAAAACCATATGTGTATTAACTTTCCAAGTATACACTTCATTAAAAATCGATCACAATAATATACGTTTGGAGGCGAAGCATTACGTATTTTTATATTGAACACCTGTGGAACGTAAAATACGGCAGTTTTTACCAGACATATATTGGATGGGATCAAGGGCAAATAAATAAAAATATTATATGATGGGGAAAAATGTGGAGGCTGAATGTATCAGACAACATTTTTGTTCTTTGATCTTCGATATATTTCCACCGTTGCAAATAAAGTTTTATTATAAACATGCATGCTTAATGATGCTAATATTTAAAATTTAATAATGTGTTTATGCGAACAAGAAGTCGTTAAAGTTTATAGAGATAACTAGTTTAAATATTACATAAAATTGTCACTATTTTTCCACAAACATCTTGCACCTTTCTCAAGAGAAAATAAAACCGTATTCTCAACCACTTTCCTCCAATTTCTCCAAGCATTTTCCACAAGTTAATCCGCTTTACTAACAGAGACGTCCTTACTAAAAACCCTCTTAAAATGTTTTATTTATTTCTCCTTGGCCCGGGATGATATGTTATTGTTTTGAAGTCAAGAAGTTCCCTTTTTTGTAAGGGATTTATGACTACTTGTGTCACCTACATGTGGCAAAAGAAATACAGCGAACATTTTAAATTAACTTAACCCTTAGGGTTTCGTGTGAGAGCTAAATTCACAGATCAATAGCTCTCTAACCCCTCTAAACATCGGTGCAGAGAAATGCCATGCAACGCCGATTAAGCCGCTTTTCCCTCTCTAACCCCAAGCTCCAAAGATCCTCATCCCTTTAAACATTTGTAGTTCATCAAGTGGTATTATTATAAAGGGCAACTGTGTTTCGTTTTGAGTGATTTGGGATACGAAAATTTTATTTCGGCCTCAAAAAAAGGCACTTCTTGTTATCTCATTTTTGGCCAATTTATGTCGCAACTTATATCACTTGAGGTTTCACGGTAAATTACGCCTTTTCAAATTTTCAGCTGGGGGAACTGGAATTGTAGTTAAGTGTTTGTGGCAGCATTTTTTTTTCTCTCGTGTTATTCGCCATTTGAGCCACTTTTGTGGTTGAATCGGAATGACTGGTAATTGAAACGGTTTAAAAAAGAAGCAATTACAGATTTTTCGTTTAACTAAACCAATTGAATGAGGAGTAATTATTTTCAAATCCTAATTTTTATTCAATTTTCCCTAGTAAAGGATATCAACATTAAATAATGAACGCATCCCAGTTATTTTTCGCCAAGATGTACCTTGTTTATAGTGTAAATGGGTGTTGAATATTGCCTTATTTATAGGTGCTGTAGTCAAGAGAACCTGCAGGTTTAGCTTCTCGAACGATTCTTGTGCTGATTCCCACGACCACGAAACATTCTTCCTTGTCAAGTTACTTAGCGCTCTGGAGACATTGGCAAAGTTAGGAATGAATCTACGGAACCATGAACAAGTCTGGGTGATAGCGGCATCCTTTTCCGGATCGGCTTTGACACCATCTCGTCCAATAAGATGACCAACATATTTAACTTCTGAAGTAGAGAAAGTGCATTTCTTCTTGTTCACCTTCAACTTGTAAATGCGTAGACGGTTGAAAACATCACTCAAGTCTTTGATGTGTTGTTCAAAAGTCGTGGATAAAATTATTAAGTCGTCAAGGTATCCTAACATCTGGATATGCGGTAAATCTGAACAAAAACGATTTATTAACTTTTGAAACGTTGCTGGAGCTGTGGATAGACCAAAAGGGATCGTCTTATATCGATAAAGTCCAAATGGCGTGACAAAGGCGGTTTTATCACGATCTTCTTCTCTGACAGGTACTTGATGATAACCGCTCTTCAGGTTTAAGGTGGTTATGTAGTTAGATTTTCCAGTTGAATGGATAAAGTCATCTATACGAGGCAATGGGTAACGAACATTCTTGAAGACAGCATTCAGTCGGCGATAATCAGCACAAAGATGTAAAGTTTCGTCTTTCTTCGATACAAGGACGACTGGAAATGCGTATGGCAATTTGCTCTCTTCAATGATATCGCTGGCAAGAAGTTTGTCAAGCTCCTGACGCAAAACTTCTTTTTTCGCAGGAGATAAGCGATATGGTGGTGCAGCTATGGGATTATCATCAGTGAGGAAAATGGTATGCTCAGGATATGGGGTAACTCCTGGTATTTTCATCGAACAAATCCCTGTTATGTTCCAACAGCGATTTCAATGTACCTTCTTCAATATTGGAAAGAGTTGGCAACGACAAATCATTCCCGTCAACAACAGACAAAACAAGGATTTGCTTGGATCATCATTGAAATAGTATATCTTCTTAGATATATTGAGCACTATATCGAATTGTGATATGAAATCAACACCAAGTAAATTTGCAGTTTTCGTTGTTTATTCATAGCTTCGATGGAGCACTGGTACATCTTTGCTTCAACTTC